TCCAGACAAAACATTAGTAGACAGTTCACAGACCAAATATCAGATCTTTTAATAGAATGGCTTTTCAATCTTGACAAATCTCCAGAAGAGTTTTCCGTTAGTGTCCAGGGGGAAATAGGTTCTTTGCAGATAAAATAAAAACGTCATAGATTTGGAAAGAAGTTGGAATTAGAAAGAAGCAGCACAGAAATGGAGATGCCCACTTTTCCTGTACATATTCTTTGTTCCTATACAACCAAAGCTTTGTACTTCTGTTTATCCAATTGTCAAATGAAGATGGTGCCACATGTTCCAACTTTCAGTCTGGAATGGGCTAAGTGAAAATCATTGACACATTAGACATGGGAAATTCTAAGAAAGTAGAAGAGCTGCATTAATGTCAGGCAGTTTGATGTTGTTTAACTTTTTGTCAAGTCAGTCAGTCTCTCTGGTCTTGTTGATGTTTGTGGTCCTAGCCAATTTCCTCATGTCAGTTTCATGGTCATTTGCATGTGTATTCTTTGGTTTTACCTTCCTGTCCTTTGCCAGATTCTGGACCTCCCTTCTACTTTTTCCATACAAGATAAAAACAAACAAAACAGTATTTGGACCAATATTTTATCCAGGATCCCCCACCCCAAGCAGTATAAGGATAATAAAGACATCAACATTTGGAATCTTAGATATCAAGATTCTCACCAATTTAGGCCATTATTTTTCAAAATGCAACAATGGTCAAATTACTATGATGAGATTATAGATAGAGCTGCCATGTAAGGTTGCACAGTTTGTGTAATGCACAAAGGTGCCCAGCCAGGAAGTGAGGGCTAACAACTATCCAGACCCCACTCCACCTCTGCCTGAGGGAAAAGATGTTTTTCTGCACCCATTTATGCAAGGTGCTGTGCCTGCCCAGAGAGGGCATACTTTTCCAATTTGTACCATAGTTGCATACAGCCTAGAGATCTTGATTATTTAGATTCGTACAGAAGGGAAGAGGGGTCGGCATGAGTGGGTGGAAATGAGTAGGGTAATGGCCCATTCTTTCTGCTTGACTCCAGCTCTGCCACCTCTGAGGTTACTGACTCTCCAGCAGCCTTTCCAGCCTCTCTCTCTTCCCATCACACATTTTTCCTCCCCACACTTTCTGTGCAGCTTCATTCTTCTTTCTCCTCCCTTTCCAGTATCTCTCTTTCCCTCTCATCATTTTCTGCCCTTTCCTCTCAGTCCCAGGAGACGGACCAAAGGCCAAGTGCCATCACTGTTACATTGATCTCCTCCTTGAGTCCTAGTCACCAATAATATCCCTATAATCACTTTGGAGTTTCTTCTCATCGTCAAATCTTGACATAATTACAAAGTAGTAGAAGTCTTGCATCTTTGCTTTATCCTTTTCAATATCCTGCCAGGCACCTCCCTTTCCCAGCCAACAAGGGTCCAGAACTCCCAGTGCAGACAGAACCAATGGTCTGTTAAACTTGTGTAATCGTTCATTAAACTATTAATGGCCAACCACATTGCGTCTCCTGGGAGTGTTGTCATTTAAAAATCAGGTGCTTGGGATACCATGTTTTAGCCATAAGGAAGGAATCTCACAGGGGAGAATTCGGAGCAGCTTTCTAGCTGAGCTGAACAATGGACAATTTTTCTGATAGAAGCACCCCCCTCAAACATGTGCTCACTCTGCCTTAGGATTTCTTTCAAGTATTTTCACAGATGGTCTTGAGACAAAATCGCCAGCCTCCACACCTGCATCTCTTCCTCCTTGCTGCTTGTATAGCTGAGATTATAATCTTTTCTCTAGAGAGCTCACATCGGAGTTTTCCAATTGACTGTCCCGAAAGCCATGACGACTATTTTCTCAGCCAGACTCATCCAGAAGCTTGGAAGTCCAGCAACTACCCTTCCTTTAATGTTAACAGAGCTCCTCAAACTCCTCTATTTAAGTACTCCTAATGCAAGAGTGAAACTGGAGGTTTGGGAGGGCTCAGAAGAGCAGGATCTGAAAGGCCCTACCCTCAGCATGAAATTTCTTTCTAAGTCACTATTTTTCTTCTTATTTTTGGCAATTTTGCATTCTACTCTATAATATATCCATTTTTGTTTTGAAGTAAAAATAACATTTCCCCAAGTCTTCAAGCAAAATTGATCCTGCAGAAAGGTGCTTGTTTATTCTGCGGCTTCAGGAACTCTCAGGCCCTCCAGCTTGAGAAACTAGAAGCCTAGTTAAAATCCATATTTCTCTGTATGTTATACAAGGACCTTCTTGACAGGTACATATTTATCTCTACAGTTCCAGTCCTCCAACCAGCTTCCCGCAGGGCAATCACACTGAACTCCTTGAAATTCTGTGACCATCTTAGTGTTTCTTATCTCAGAATAATTGCTTATGTTGTTTCCTCAAACTAGAATGTACTCTCCCCCATCTCTCTGCTTATCTTCTAGACCCAACTCAAGGATCATGTTGCCCTGTGAAGCTCTCTATGACAAGCCCCAACAGGCTGAATAAGCCATCCCTCCCTTTATGCCACCAAAGTTCACTCTTCTCCCATAGTGTACATTGCTCTTGATTATAATTTGCTGCTTATGCTACCCTTCTGCACCAGACTGTGAATTGCTTCAGGGCAGGGTCTGTGTCTTATTCATCTTGGCCATCACTGGATCAGCACCCAGCCTGGCACATGGTAAGACAGGAGGTAAGTATGGCTATGACATTTCATCCTAGCACTCACCAGGGTTGACCTGGCTGAGCTAAATGGACATGGGGATGTCCCTTTCCTCTCTCTTTACTCCTTGAGTGTCTCTTCCATTCTTTCTGTCAAATAGGATGGTCCCAGATGAACAAGGACATTCTAGCCGAGAAGTTTCAGAAGCTTTCCATCATTGATGAGCCCTCCAAACAAGCTCTCTAGACCCGACGCTTAGTAGGTTCTCAGTCAATATCTTCTAAATATTTGAATGAACCAGTGATTACCACCGTTGTTTCTCTGATTAAGCAGTTTTATATTTTTTCAATCTTATCTTCCAGAGATTCCTGATGTCTAAATCCCAGTGATCTAACAAAACATCAACATTTACTATACATTCAATGAAAGTATAATAAATAAATGAAGAAATGGACTAATGTCTTCATGTGTCCTTTCACGTTTCTTGAAAAGTACATGCACAAACAGGGCACAGAGGCTCATGCCTATCATCCCAACACTTTGGGAGGCTGAGGTGAGGGATCACTTGAAGCCAGGAGTTAGAGACCAGCCTGGTCAACAGGACAAAACGCCTGTCTGTACTGAAAAAAAAACAAAACAAAAACAAAAACAAAAAAACAGGCACTGTGGCTCACACCTGTAATCCCAGCACTTTGCGAGGCCGAGGCAGGCAGATCACTTGAGGTCAGGAGTTCGAGACCAGCCTGGCCAACATGGTGAAACCCCATCTCTACTGAAAATACAAAAATTAGCCGAGCATAGTGGCATGTGCCTGTAGTCCCAGGTACTCGAGAGGCTGAGACAGGAGAATCACTTGAACCTGGGAGGCAGAGGTTGCAGTAAGCCAAGATTGCACCACTGCCAGCCTGTGCAACAGAGCCTCTGTTTAAAAAAAAAAAAAAAAAGGACATGTACTTCCTATTTTAACTTATTTACCCTAACACCTGATATGTTTACCAGCCTACTAAGGAACAAGGAACTGGCTTGCCACTTGGAAATAAAATTTTGACAAATGGGTGGTGATCAAAATTTCTTTCTCAAAACCTTACCAGTTACCAGTGTAATCATCTTTTTTAAATTACAGGCTCCATTAGGAGTAGAACTTTTTTGAGTAACTGTGATCTCCACCATGGCTAATATAATTTAATATTTATAATACCATTGTCCTCAAGGTAAGGACCACCTCTCAGTATAAATGCTCAACGGATGTGGCGCTGAAGCATGGCACTACTCTTAAGCATTTTTGTTTGCTTGTTTGTTTGAGACTGAGTCTCACTCTCTATCGCCCGGGCTGGAGTGCAGTGGCACAATGTCAGCTCACTGCAATCTCCGCCTCCCAGGTTCAAGCGATTCTCCTGCCTCAGCCTCCTGAGTAGCTAGGATTACAGGCGCCCACCACCATGCCTGGCAATTTTTGTATGAGTAGAGACAGGGTTTCACCATGTTGGCCAGGCTGGTCTCAAACTCAACCTCAAGTTATCTGCCCGCCTCGGCCTCCCAAAGTGCTGGGATTACAGGTGTGAGCCACCATGCCCGGCCATCTTAAACATTTTAAAAAACAAAGTGAATATGCCAGGCATCCCACCTAGACCACAGTGAGTGCTAAATGAATGTTTTGATCATCATTTAATCATTCTTAGCCAGATCTGAATGTGAAAAACAAAATCTGATGCCTCCGGAATTTCAGAGCAATGCCCAGTTTTAATTGGGTGCAATGATGCCCTTTCCTTGGCCACTATTCAGTTATAGCCTTGCTGCCAGGGACAAACAAGATGAGCGTTTTTTAGTCAGGCACAAAGCAAGTAAATAGAAACTTCAGTCTGGGAGTGATTTTGTCTTTCCCAAACCCTGGAGGAGGGTTCTCCATTTTTCTTTTGTTCGTTTGTTTTTTATTGTACCCTTCTAACAGTAAAAAGTTTCTGATCAAACGTTCCTGATATATGGATAATTATTTATTTATAAATTGTATACATGTATTACTATACTAATGTATCTGTGCTTTTATAAAATCCATCAAAATGGAAATTTAAAGTTATATAAAAATGAATATAATATATAAAATTATATAAAATGAATATAAATAGAAGTTCTCATATTTTCTTCTCTTGCCCTAACAAATGTCTTGTAAGTAGCCCACTGGCTGAAAGGACTCACATGCTACTAGAAGGTGTGGTAACAGCAAGGCTCGCCAAACCATTTGGTAACTGTCAAGTCACCAAACACATGTGGCCCCAACTCACCCAATGGCCCACTCTCTTCCATTAATGCTGTCAAAAGCTATTGGCTTTACTTTGAAGAAAAATGATAATTCAGTCATTGAATGATGATTTAAAAGACTTTATTTGCAGTGGAACAAGCTAAATGCTGTATTCACTCCAAATGAAAAGAACGAGACTACTGATTGTACTGTAGGATAAGGAGGAAGGCAATAAAGCTGCAGTATATCCTTGAAGCATGTCAAAGTGGTATGGTAGGGAAAACGAGAGTTTTATCTCACAAAGCCATAAACACTGAACAAGTTAATTTTCCATTCCAGAAAATCAGCAGTCATCAAAACAGCACTTGGCAAAATATTTAAAATTTGTGATAATAACAAGTACTGCAGTGGCACTGTGTGTGGTTCTCCACTCTGACACTCCCCATTACCATGACCTAAAGGGGAAGGAAAAAAACATATCATAGATTAGATGATAGATAGATAGATAGATACATACATACATACATACATACATACATAGAGGCAAAATTGAAGAATATTAAATAAAATTGTCTGCATTCTGCTGAAATAAATACATGCATACTACATTTGCACAGTCTCCTTTTTAGGAGATATGTTTAGCATGAGTAAGCTGTACTTTCTCCCAACCTGCCCCTTGTCACCTCTACCCCTATTCTCCTCACTCTGAATAAATCCAGCCTATACCCACAAGACAATTGACTCTTTTAATTAATGGGTAGAAATGTGTTCCCCACCTGTACAAATGCTCGACAGAGGCTGGGTCATTAGACACCTTTGGCCTTAAATCCCATGGGTGGGCTCTATGAACATTTCTCTGATTGGGCTGTTGGAAAGCTTCTGGGGCTCTTGAGGTTCTTACCCTGGTCAATGATTTAGCTACACAGCAAGTGGACTCTGAGGTGACGTTTTTTTGGACCAACATCGTCTTCTTGGACCTTACTGGAGTGGGATATGCTCTAGAGAAGCAGCAGCCCATACACTGATATATTGGGGCACCCGGCTTGGAGAAGAATTTGTTTTCCCTTGGCTTGCATTCTGGGCAATCTATCAGGAAAAAAAAAAAAAAGGCAGAGTAAAATAATCCAAAAAAGATTCAGAAAGAATCTATGAGGCCAGCACAGTAGCTTACGCCTGTAATTCTAGCACTTTGGGAGGCCGAAATGGAATTGCTTGAGCTCAGGAGTTCGAGAGCAGCATGGGCAACATGGTGAAACCCTGTCTCTACAAAAAATACAAAAAAAAAAAAAATAGCCAGACGTGATGGTGCACACCTGTAGTCCCAGCTACTTGACGGTCTGGGGCAGAAGAATTTCTTGAAGCTGGGAGGTTGAGGCTGCAGTGAGCCGAGATTGTGTCACTGTACTCCAGCCTGGGTGACAAAGTGAGACCCTGATTCAAAAAAAAAAAAATAAGAAAAAACGCGGTGGCTCACGCCTATAATCCTAGAACTTTGGAGGCTGAGGCGGGTGGATCACCAGAGATCAGGAATTCAAGACCAGCCTGGCCAACATGGTGAAACCCCATCTCTACTAAAAATACAAAAATTTAGCTGGGCATGGTGGCAGGCGCCTGTAATACCAGCTACTCAGAAAGCTGAGGCAGGAGAATCGCTAGAACTCGGGAGGCGGAGGTTGCAGTAAGCTGAGATCATGCCATTGCACTCCAGCCTGGGCGACAGAGCGAGACTCTGTCTCAAAAGAAAAGGCAAGGTAAGGCAAGGCAAGGCAAGGCACGGCACAGTACAGCAAGGCAAGGCAAGGCAAGGCAAGGCAACAAATGAAACAAACTACAAATGTTTCCTTATGATGGGATAGTGAATATTATTTTTCCATCAAAAATGAAAGGAAACTAAGTAAGTGCTTTTTGGTTATATGTTAATCTTCATCTATAATATTTAATATTTATACTGATTAATGTTCATGAGAAATAAAATTTAAAAACAAACATTTTCACAGATATGCGTAGAAAATCTCAGTTGTAGTCTTTCTTCAAGCATAGATTCTCTATCTCAATGCTAACAGTATGCCTAGAGGAAACACAAAACTTGACAGATTAAAACATCACGTTCATCTGAAAAGAGAATTTTGCGCAGAGGAAAAATATTTTTCCCCTTAGAATCTGCTATTGTTTTTCCTACACTAACTCCAAATATTGACAGAGAGAAATATGTCAGAATTAAGAAAGTCTGGTGAGTGCAGAGAGACTGATATTAGATCAGATGCCTGCACTTGGGACCTGGATTAAAATATTACCACTTATCTAGAGAAAAACCATAACCAATAGTAGCTCACAAATTTCAAAGCAGAAGGAATTATATCAGCTACTATATGAGATTTTTCAGACAATACAGCAAAACAAATTTACTGTATAAAATGGTTTTGCTTTTCTCACTTATTAACTGATGTGAAAATTCATCTACAAAGGCAATGTTAAAATCTCAAATCTTCTGGCAGAAATGTAAAAAATAACTGAGCTAACTGAATAAGGAGGGTTTTCTTCTTGTAAGACTCAAATAAAGAATAAAAAGGAATCTATTTCAGATGAAAATGCATAGGCTGCTACATAAATGGTTGTGTAAGATATCGTTTTCACTGCACATTTCCTGAACCTAATTTAATTTTATGTTCACAATCTACAAGAGCCTAGATATGAATCCAGCAGCAAAGGTTTATTACTTTTGAAAAGGAGGTAGAAATGTAATTAATGGAGTTATTGATGTACATCTAGAAATGTGTGTTGTCCTTATTACTCAAACCACAAGCTTGGTCACACACCCTGCATTGTAAACTCTCCATCAGGAAAGGAATGGAGAATATGCAGAAACACCGACAATGTGACCAGAATGACAGCTGCATATTTTCTGTAGTAATCCATGGCGCTCCTACAAACAGACATGGAAGAAAAAAAAAAAACAGTTAATTTAAAATTGGCTTCCCAGCCATAACAACACCCAGTAGTTTCAACATTACTACTAATAATAATCATCAGTGTCTTGACCTCTCTGCTTTTAGCTCCCAACATACACTAAAACCATGTAAATTTTTTTTAATTTCTCCTTAAGAAAGAGATAGATAACTGAATCTTCCCATTTCTCACATTAACTTCTAGAAATTGGTTTAATAATAATTACAATAAATTCTCTTCTTAAATTCTTTAAAATTTAAATTTCAGAATTTAAATTTTAAATTCTCTGTCATCCTGTTACAAAGCTTCAGTGTCCTTATTTGTAAAACATGGAACTTAAACTACATAATACCTAAGAAAATATTTATAAACTTATATATGAGATATAAAATATACAATCATTTGATGGAGGATAAACACAAAGTATTCAACATTATCAGCCATTAAGGAAATGCGAATTAAAACTACAATGACATATTACACATCTATCAGAATGGCTAAAATAAAAAATAACACCAAATACTGGCGTGGATGCAGAGAACCAAGATAACTCAGGCATTGCTGGTGGGAATATAAAATGGTACAGCCACTCTGGGAAATAGTTTGGCGGTTTCTGATAAAACAAAACATGTACTCACCATATGCCCCAACAGTTGCACTTTTGGGCATTTATCTCAGAGAACGGAAGACTATGTTCACACAAAACTTATACATAAATATTCATAGAAACTTTGTTTAAAGTAGCCAAAAAACTGGAAATATTTCAAATGCCCATCAGCAGGTGAATGGTTATACTAATGATGGTATAGTCATACCATGGAATACTGTCCAGCAACAAAAAAAAATGAACACACTATTGATACACACAGCAACTTGAATGGATCTCGAGAGAATTATGCTGAATGAAGGCTGAATACTATATGATTCCATCTATATAACACTGTGGAAATAAAATTATAGAGATAGAGAATAGATTAATGGTTTCAAGGAGTGAGCCCTGGGAAAGAAGTGTATAAGGGTGAGTGTGGCTCTAAAGGGATAGCACAAGGGAGCTGTGGTGATGGGACAGCTGCATGTTGATAGGGATGTTAGTCACAGTAATCTACACATGGGATAAAACTGCATAACAGGGCACTAGTATTTTGTGTGTGTGTGTGTGTGTGTGTGTGTGTGTGTGTCTTAAATCTGAATAAGCTGTATAGGTGGCAGCAATGTCAGTTCTCTAGTATTCACATTGCACTATAGTTATATGAGATAATTATCAATGAGGGAACAAGCTGAAGGGTATACAGGACTTCTCTGTACATTTTTTTGCAACTTCCTCTAAATCTGCAATTATTCAAAATAAAAGTTTTTTTTAAAAAATTCAGAATGAGGTTTAAAGGTACATATGAGTCAAAACTTTTGGTTATTTTTCGTGTAGACTGACATAATAGAGCTGAGTTTCTGCTAGATGTTTATATTAATCCATAACACTTCTTAGGAATAATTTGTCAGACAGCAGAACTAAGTTTATAATACATGTTGAGTGTTTCTATTCTGAACATTTGAAATCTGAAATGGCCCACAATCTGAAACATTTTGAGCACCAACATGATAACACAAGTGGAAAGTTCCACATATAAGTACTTAACAGAAACTTTGTTTATGCACAAAATATTCAAAATAGTGTATGAAATTACCTTTGGGCTATGTAATATACGAAACAAATGATTTTTATGTTTAGACATGGGTCTCATCCCCAAGATATCTCACTATGTATATGCAAATATTCCAAAATCCAAAAAAATTTAAAATCTAAAGCACCTTTTATCCTCAGCATTTCAGATAAAGGACACTCAACCTGTATAGAAATTCAGATTGTATAAGTACGAAGGCTAAAACAAATGTATGTCATTATTTCTACCTGAGAGAGATATATATATGTGTAAGTAATTTTGACTTCTATTTATCTTCATACATAATTAACACTGAATAAATATTGTTCTAAGTTAGTGGCTCTCAAAGTGTGATCTGGGAACCCCAAAGATTTTCAGTGGATCTGTGAGGTTAAAATGATTTTCATAATAATACTAAAATGTTGTTTGTCTTTTTTTCCTCTTCATCCTCTTGGGTGCTCAGAGAAATTTTCTAGAGGCTACATGACATGTAATTTTACAACAGATTGAATGAAGAAGCACATGAGAATTTAGCTGTGTTCTGTTAGGCTAGACAACGAAGAGCTTTGCAAAAGGGTAAAACAATGCCACTCTTAACACTAATTTTTTTTCTTGAAAATTGTCATTTAAAAAAATGAATACATGCTATTTTTGTTAACATATGATGGATTTTTCTAAATGAATAAATATTTTTAAACTTTAACATAATCACTAAGCTATTAAATATTAATGGATATAACCTCATGAATAGAAGCTCTTTGGGATCTTCAATAATTTTTTTGTTTTGTTTTGTTTTTTGAGATGGAGTCTCCCTCTATTGCTCAGGATGGAATGCAGTCATGCAATCTCGGCTCACTGCAACCTCCGCCTCCTGGGTTCAAGCAATTCTCCTGCCTCAGCATCCCAAGTAGCTGGGACTACAGGCATGCGCCATG